ATCAAACTGTTCGTGAAATGTAAGTTTAATTGTATTCCCAAAAATATGTTTCTGAGCTTTTCAGTTATGTTTATATAAATGCGTCCTCATTGTAGTTCATTGGGCATGTTGGATTTTGTTATGGTACCATGGTGCTAAAAACTTGTCCAAGGTGTATGCCAGCAAAAGGCATAAGAAATTTTATTACGTGTTTTGACAATTGTCTTGGATTCATCGTTGTTTTTGGTCTTTTTTGTTTGATTGATTCTATCAATTATATTTTTTGCTTTGGTAATTTGTTTAAATTTTTTTTTTCTTGGAGTTGATACTGAGCAAGCTTTATTGACTTCTTGCAGTAAGAGAGAAGTGAATAAAAAGGTTCTTAAAGTCCCTTCAATAGAACAGAAGGTGATTTTATTTTCCTTTAATCTCTTTATGGATTTGACACCCTTGAGCAAGTTGAATGTTTAGTCTGTAATAGAGTATATGAAGTGCACTCGCTTAATAAGAATAGAGGAAAGACAGTTACTTGTATTTGGCTTTCTTAAACAATTTCTAAGTAGTATTTGGTTTCTGATTTAGGTCCTCGATGCAACTAGCAATGAGCCTTGGGGTCCTCATGGATCACTTCTTGCTGATATTGCACAGGCAACAAGAAACTAGTAAGCTTAAAATCTTTGAAAATATTCTTTCTAATTCGTCTGATTCTAGTACTCATTTTCAATTTCCAACAGTCATGAGTATCAGATGATAATGTCAATAATTTGGAAGCGTATCAATGATACTGGAAAAAATTGGCGTCATGTTTACAAGGTAGTATTTCTCCCTCATTATTCTATATCCTGGAGCAATTTGTGTGTTTTCTTATTGTAAAATCTTGTTTAATTTGACATCCCTTAGATTTTCCCTTCCTGCGCAAGGTGAAAGAAAATGTATTACTCTTTTTTCCATATTATTGTAAAGACATCCTACTTAGCGGATACTTTTTTTTTGTTAATTTTTAACCATCCTCTCCTACGTAGACTCTGGTATTCATGCTGGTGTTTTCTTGTCATATTAATATCTCATGTTGATTTCCAGGCTTTGACTGTTTTGGAATATTTGGTGGCTCATGGTTCAGAACGTGTCATAGATGAGATCCGGGAACATTCATACCAAATATCTGTAAGTTTAAATTTTACATCTACCTTTTTTATATGCAAAATGCTAATTACATTCTGTGAAGTGCTGGATTGATCTGAAATTTTTTGGTTGGCTGTGTTAGCATTTACTATTTCTTTTCTTGTGATAGACATTGTCCGATTTTCAATATATTGATTCCAGTGGGAGGGATCAGGGAAACAATGTCAGAAAGAAATCTCAGAGTCTTGTGGTTCTTGTAAATGACAAGGAAAGAATACAAGAAGTTCGTCAGAAGGCTGCTGCTAACAGGGACAAGTAAGTGTGCATTGCATTTTTGTCTGATTATGCACTTTGTTATATGTCTGCTTCTGTTGCAACTTTAGAAGTATCAGTTTCACTTATGCTTTCCTCTTTTCAGATCCTCATGCCAACCATTTGAAGTTAGACAGTGGTTTTCCATGCATGATGGTTTATTTGATTTACTGCTATCTGAAATCTTAATGTTTTGATGTCATTATTTCTTTTTGCTGTTACTATATCAGCGACTATCTTCTTTTGAGCTTAGTTGAAATTACATATCACGAAGGTCAGGGAGAATCAAATTAAGTTTGTGGAGTTCATTTATACTGTATTTTCTTTCATCACTTTTAACTTCATCAATTAGTCCTTTTGGATACGTTCTTCTGCATTTGCTTTGGAATTTATATGTGCAATCCTTTTCTGTTAAATGATGTTCAAAGATTTTTAATGTTATGATACTCAAGGAATATTATACATTTTGATCGTGCATCTGGCATTTCATTTTCAGTGTGGATATGAATTTTGAGTTCAAATTTTACTTTCTGTTTAAGCATTTAAGGAAATTTGTTCCTAGTTTTCTTGTATTTTTATCCCTGTAAGTGCAAAATAGTTTCTTCACTTTCAAATTTGCAACTAAAGATGGTGCTAAACCACTTAATCTAGAAGCTTAAGCTCTTAGAGATGGTCACACGTATATCATATAAATTGTGTCTTAAATAGATACGATATCTTCCATGACTTGTTTATGCATTGTTAATTTTTGGGGTTGGGGGTTAGGAGTGAGAATGTATTAGATGTAACCCCATGTATTTAAGAAAATAAACACGGGTGCCATCTGATTCTGTTTGGGAATTTTTGCAAAATTTGGGGTTTTTTTTTTTGGGGAGAAGTTGGGCCAGATGTGGCAACAGTTTCAAAACTACAATGTGCTGTAGTTTACCTTCTAAATTATTGTGTGGTCGCTGAATACATCTTTAACCATTTTTTTCCCCTTTGGCATCAAGATTAGCATGCTCGGCATAACTAAACAAACCCTAGATATCCTTGGTTCTGGCTTGTTGTTTAACTAAATGGATTTCTTATAAATACCTTGACAGGTACCGCAACACCTCAATGGGTAATATGTATCGGCCTGGCTCTTATTCAAGCGGAGGAGGATATGGTGATAGATATGACGAGGATCGTTATGGAAGCAGAGATGATGAACGTAATGGTTATGGTAGAGAGAGAGAATGGGGCCAAAGAGATGATGACAGATATGGTAGGTATGGGGATTCATATGGCCGTGATGGGGACGGATACAACAGAGAATATGAGGAGCGTTCTGGCCGAGGTGGCTATAGGGATGATGACTACCCTGGAAGAAGTCGAAGCATTGATAATTATCAGTATGGGTCAAGAAGTAGAAGTGCTGATCGAGATAGAGACCGTTCTTATGAAGACGATGGCCAATATTCTTCAAGGTTTGCCTATTTTCCATATTCTTAAGTGAAATAAATCTTTATAGTGAATTTTTTGAACCTCTTTTCTCTATTCAGAAAGTGCATTCTGGTTATATTGATCTTAAGGATGAGAGAAAATTCTAGACAACATTATATGTATGAGTGATTTTGCTCATGAAGTGTCAAAAAATACTAGTGCACCAAAGCTCACATTTTCTGCTGGCTACTTGTATCAACTTTGGCAGTCCATGATTCTAGCAGTACTACTTTTTGTTGTATTAGGTACTCCGAAATTTCCCAAGCTGGGTGGTTTTGTATTCATTTATTTTTCATAGTATCTATATGCGTCCTTCTGCTTAAATAGTTTTACCTATATTACCTAATTCAAGAAAAAAATCATTTTTGATAAAAAGAGATATTATTAAACTTTACAATTTCTAATTTGCAGAGGAAGTGGTGCCAGGGCTGATGATCATTCTCAAGACGGAAGGTAAATGTCATGAAACTTTTACAACATATTTCTGTTGATGTATGTGTGTGTGTGTATATATATATATAACTGACTTATTCATTTATGAAATTTTTATTTTGGATTTAGTACTATGGGCAGGCCGTTTGATCGTAAATATTCTGAACAAAACTTTAATGCTCCTCCAAGTTATGAGGAGGCTGTTAATGGTGGACGTAGTCCAACTTATAGTGAAAGGTAACAAATTTGTGTTATTGTCTAGCTTGTGCATGAACTATTCTGGTTTGCTTCTAACTTCCTATTTTCAATAGGGATGGGGAACGTTCCCAAGCATCTGCACCTAAAGCATCCTCTCCTCCCTCCAGTGCTAGTCCAAGTAATGCAACCGCTGCAGCTTCTTCACTACCACCTCTTGCTTCACCATCAGCTCCAACTCCAGCTCCAGCTCCAGATAATAAGAAAGTTGATGGCTTTGATGAATTTGATCCACGTGGTTTAGGTAAAGGATTATCAAGCATTGATTCCCTATTTATTTTCAGCAACTTCATTGTAGTTGCAAGTTTTTTTGCTTGATGGAGATGTTATATTCTATTTATATACTAGCTTGTGCCGGGTTATATTGAAGGTAGAATATCTGAAATGTAGAATTTAAACAAGGTTATGCTATTCGAGTTGAAATATTCTCTTTAGAACTGTGATGCTCGGACTCTTGCTTCCGGCCAGCATACCCGTGTCGACACGACAAGACTCGGGTACAGGCATGAGATGTGGGGCGGACCCGGCAATTTTCAATCGGACACGGCAAGCTCGGAAGGTTAAATGCGGCGGCGCCGCCGTAGAGAAAGATTGGAAGCACTGACCAAGAGAGGAAGCCGAATTGTTCGTGCATCTATTTCAGTCGACGACAGAGGAAGAAGAACCGTTTATGCAGTGATTTCCATTGATTTAAGACAGTGAGGAATATGAACAGTAAAGAAGAAATGAAGGGGCGTGGTCTACTTGGCTTACGTGCTTTAACATTATATTGGGTCAATGTCTTGGAAGCCCAAACATTTAATAGAAGAAGCCGACTAGGAAAATGTTTATAGGATGAAATGTAAATGAAAAGGTGATATAAATTATACAAAAAAGATTTGAATTACATTTTTACCATTAATTAAAAAACAAGAGAGAGGTATTCTAAATCTAAAAAAAGAAGTAAACTTATTATCAATTAAATTTACAATTTTCCCCAAATTAAAAATCCAGCTAAATCTATTTGTTATTTAAGTATTTATATATGATGCAATAAGTATAAAAAAAACTAATTAATTTAGACTATTAAATTAAAAAAATAAAAAATATATATTTTAATCAACATGTTACGTTAGTCGACAACGTAACATGTCGAAATTTTTTCAAAAAATCGATACCCACCTACCTGTGTTTGAAATTTAGACTCTTTTTAACAAGGACCCTGTGTCCCACATTTTTAAAAATAAAAGATCCGACGTTTGGATACATACCCATACCTGATACCCGTACTCGAGTCCGAGCATCATAGCTTTAGAATCTTTTAGTGTTTGCATAACTCTGGGAAACATTAAGTTTTATTGTCTAGGTAAGCTGAGAGTTGTTTATGTGTTTATTGTTGTTTATTAAGATGTTTTATATATTGTCGAAGTGTCTACCACTGTCGTTTGTTCCTCAATAAAGGCCAAAATGATAGGAAGCCGGTGTATACCACTTTGTTGATTATATATGCAAACAAACAACTCTTACCCCGAATAAATTTCTTCATTTCCGGTCTCCATTGCTGATGAAGACTTGTCTGGGCTAAGATGGGCTGTGGTTGGCTCTTGTTCACTTTAACCGTGTATATTGAATTGGTTTTCCGACGATGCCTATCAAAGTTAGAAAAACCTTACTACAAATTTTATCTCTTTGGTGCTTGCTATTATTGTGATGGTGTGTTCAGAGTATATATGATTCATGATTACATCTGATTGTGTCATATAATTCCTTCTTTTGCAAGATATATTCTGCACCAATAGCTACATTGTAATTATTTGACATGAATATTCCTCTTGTAAGTTTGTAAAAGCAGAAGACTTAGTGGATTGCATATCCATGTAGCCCCTGTTTGACAATCATTAAAACAAAACTCTTTTTTCTCAGACTCATTTTCAACCAAACACTCTCACAATAAAATATTTTGCACGTAAACCCAAATTTTTTCCTACATTTTAACCACACATTCTCCAAAAAAATCACTATTCCAAAACTCATTTTTCCAAAAAAAAAAATCATTTTACTGGGTTGTCAAACAAGGGCTTACTAATTTTTATCAGAACTTAAACAATGAAAACCTCTCTCTTCTCTCTGTCTCTCACTCACTCACTCACACACAGCGTACACACATGGAGAGAGGGGGGAGAGAGAGAGAGTTGATAGTTAAATGGTTTCCTAGACGTCACGTTAAATCTCTCAAAAATCTCATGACAAGGCCACATTGATATGTGAAATCGAAATATGAGCAATGATGGTAGTTACCATGTCTAGGTTTGGCACAAATATCTGATATCTTACTCAAGTGTTTTATGTTCAATATTCAATCTGGTGTATATTGCAGAATGCTCCTTGATCAATTTTATTCCATCTGAAGATTTGTCTATTTTGAAGTTAACAGAACTTGAGATTTTTTAACCCCTTTTCCTATATAATTGGGATCAAAAGATTATTCAAGCACAATGTCCACCTCAACAGATATATAATTTAGCTTCCATAGTCTCATTCGAGACCAAATAAGTGCTTGTTTACTGCCCAATAGTGGCTTGATCATAATTTTTTTGGTTTTGCTTTTAGAATTGTGAACTTAATGCTAGATTGTCATGATGGATTTTCTTTTTCTTTTTCCTTTGCTCTGCTAACAGCTGCACCAACTATGCCAAATGTTGCCACTCCAACTACCTCAGGTGGTACAGAAATGGATTTACTTGACTCATTAGCTCTCGTGCCTGTTACGCAAATCACAACCTCTGAAGCTGATGCCTCAGTGAACTCCAGCCATGGACCCACACATTTGACCACACCGTCTCAGGTTATCTTTAGCCGATAATTCCTTAGAACTTCACAACCTGGTTTGATTTTAAAATTGTCATCTTTATTATTGGCCCAGTAGCTGAGTGGTAACATCAATTAAAGTAGTCAGGATGCTTGAAGTGCATCATCATAAAATTTCAGTCATTGGTGATTTTTATAAATTAATTATTTGATCAAATACTAATTGAGTTATAGGTGAGGTTGGGCATGGGTCAGGTTGAATTCCTTTTAAACAAGTTTTTTCTATAAAATGTTTTCTACAATGACTTCCAAGTTTAGTTGAGCAATTAAAACTCAGGGGAGTGTGCATCCAGTTTGAAGCTTATTCTTGTTGAGGTTTTGTACTGAGATGAACTAAATGATTTATTTTCCTGAGATGATCAAGCCATGTTTAAGCAAAAATGATCTTGCGTCAATAATAATGTACACAATATAGTCACGCGAACTAGCATTATCTCTCTCTCTCTCTCTCTCATGCACACACACTTTTTTTTTTTTTGATAAGGTCATGCAGACACGCTCTTACAAGCACACAAAATCACACGCAACGAATTGGATCTAGGCCTATAGTTTTTGGTGAACCTGCAAAAGTAATATCGTTTCCTGACTTGTTCGATATTGATTTGTATAATCACATGCAACCCCTTCTTCCTCTTCCTGTCATTTTATGTATTTCATGTATTGTAGTATAAAATGCATTCTTGGTATTAAATACATGATTATTTTGCAGCCATTTGATGATCCATTTGGAGATGGCCCTTTTAAAGCTGTTACTTCTACAAATAGTGTACCAGCTCCACAGCAGATCAATACCTCCACAAGTTCCTTCCATCCGAGCTCTAGTCAAAGTTCTGGCCCGCCACAGCCAGTTCCTCAAAATGCAACTACTGAATTTGGGGGGGCACAATCTCCCCAACAGGACTTGTCAACTCTCAACCAGGATTTTGATATGCTAGCCGATATTCTCCCACCATCTGGATCTTCACTTCCTGTCAATTTACAAACTGGTTATTCCATTCCAGTGAGTCAACCTGCATTGCAGTCAGGGTTTGCTTCACAACCTGGCCAGCCTTCATTACAGACAAGTTATCCACTTCAACCAGGGCAATCTGTTCCCATGGCCCTGGCCTTCCCAACTCTAGCTGGTCAAGCATCGCAGACGTTTCCTACTCAAAGTGGTCAACCTGCATCTCTTGCAGGGTTTCCTTCTCAAATGGATCCTTCGGAGTCTGGTATTAAGACTCCTCATGTTGGCCAGTCTGCAGATTCAAATGCTAATTTCTATGGGGGTCAATTTTCAAGTGCACATGGTACGCAGTCAGTATTGCCAGCTTCAACAATGTCGACTGCTATAGTTCCCCAGCCATCAAAAGACAAGTTCGAGACAAAATCCACCGTTTGGGCTGATACTCTGAGCCGCGGACTAGTCAATTTAAATATTTCTGGGCGTGAGTTCTTGTAGTTTTTGAATAAGCTCGTTTCATATTATATTTCCTAGACCAGACTTTTGACATTACTGTTTTTCCATGTGCAGCTAAAACAAATCCATTGGCTGACATCGGAGTTGACTTTGAGGCCATAAATCGCAAGGACAGGAGGATGGAAAAACCCACAGCATCTACAGCAACATCTAATGTTACCATGGGTAAAGCTATGGGGTCTGGTTCTGGAATTGGTCGTGCTGGTGCAGGTTCTCTGAGGCCTCCTCCTAACCCAATAATGGGTTCTGGGATGGGCATTGGTACAACTGGCCAACCCGGGGTGGGCATTGGCATGGGAGGTTATGGTGTAAATTCACAGCCCATGGGTAATATGGGTATGGGAATGAACATGGGCATTGGTCGAGGAGTTCATATGCAACAACAAACTGGTTTTCCTCCCGTCACAAGGCCTGGGGGATATAATTATAATCCCATGACAGGAACAGGTAATTTTAATCAACAACAATATGGTGGTGGCTACTGATGAGCTTGAGCGAGATTGAATCCTGGGAAATAGAGAATCTTAGAATTGCCAGTTATGTTAGAGATGAAAGGGTTTTCGAAACCCTTTATACAATGTTACAATGAGACCTAAATTTTGTTTCGTCACTTGCAATTTTCTGGTTTGCCCCATGTATCATATATGTGTATTCACTCCATTAAGGATTGATTGATATTGCCTATTGTGTTTGTTTTGGGTTGTAAATTGAGTTGTTTAGATGCTTCGTGGTATCGTTATTCATATGCATATATGTATTTTTTATGACTCCGCCCATTATAGATGGTGCACATCCTCGATGATCAATAAATTTGGTGATTCTTTTTTTTTTCTTCCTCATTTATTTGCTTATTGTTATTCTTGCTCAATTCTTTCGTATTTTTATGACTTTGTCCATTATAGATGGTGCACATCCTCGATGATCAATAAATTTGGTGATTCTTTTTTTTTTCTTCCTCATTTATTTGCTTATTGTTATTCTTGCTCGAAAGAATCGTAGTTTTATGACTTTGTCCATTATAGATGGTGCACATCCTCGATGATCAATAAATTTGGTGATTCTTTTTTTTTTTTCTTCCACATTTATTTGCTTATTGTTATTATTGCTCGAAAGAATCGTATTTTTATGACTGTCCATTATAGATAGTGCACATCCTCGATGATCAATAAATTTAGTGATTCTTTTTCTTCTTCGTCATTTATTTGCTTATTGTTATTCTTGCTCGATTCTTTCGTATGGTTTGGCTCAGTCTTGGCATTTTTAGTTCATCTTATCTAGGGTTTTGATGTGTTTTTGAAGTCGAATTATCGAATATTAAGGAATTCTTTTCTAGTGATGTCTTGAATTAAATGAACACCAAATTTCTCTTACTCTTATTGCTAAATTGAGATGGGGACTTTATTGATATTAGGCTCTAAAAGATTTTTCTTACAATTTGGTAGGTTAAGAATGGCAAGAACATTCGAATAGATCGCAAATTATTAAAATTCTCTCACTCTTGTTGAATTGAGAGTTTTTGGCTAGTACAATGATGATGCAAATTCAACATGGTAAGTTAAAAGGTTGTATTGCAAAAACATCAAATACATCATATAAGCGTCGATGGATATAAAATTTCTTCAACTCTTGGGGCCTACTAAGTGGACTTGGGCGACATCAAGTTCCAGCTCATCCACAAACAAGGCATTCTAGAATATTCTGTAATTCTATAAATTCAGTACATATGGAGAATGAAAAAGGAAGTTGAAAATTGTTAGCTTGGTGCAAAACAGAATATCCCTCCTTTCCTATTTTTCTACTTCTCTGTTCTTTTTCTTCACGGATAAAATACTGTAATTCCTCCGCTCTTATCTAAGTTCTTCTCTTACATTTCTAAACCTACTTCTCTTCTTTATCTCTATCAAATCTGGATCTGAATTCTTCTCTTACTTCTCTGAATCTGTCTCCATTTCTCCGCCTCTTCTGACTTCGCTGATCCATCTCTTTCTCTTTTTATTTGTTTATTTACTTTTAATTCCCTACATTGTAATAGAACTTATCGATCAATGACATACAATTTACATTTCGTTATTTCTATGTAATTTCAGTTCAATTAAGTTGGGTTATTGAATTCCAGTTTGTTATCTTAAATTGTGTATTGATTTTGGTTGGAATTACTAGTTTTGGTACAAGTTGAGCTCCAATCATCACATTGTTTTCCCTCAATGTTAGGATAATGTTCTAAAAATCTCGTATTAAATTATTAAATATACAACTTTAGCTTTGTTTATATTCAAAATTGAATATTTTGTGATCTTTTCCTCAGTTCAAGGAAGCATATCTCTTAAAATTGTTCATGTCAAGATCAAGAACTATGACCCGTGTCAATAGGGACATGCTCGACACGAAGTAATATGTGATGCATGGCCAAGGGAAGAGGTGTCGTAGAGGAAGTTGAGAAGGATAGTAATGATGATTGTAAAGATGGAGATATTTTGACCTCTAAACAAGAAACGTTACCATCAAGAAATAAGAATCTAAAGCATGTTTTACTAGTAAGATTACCATCAAGGAGCAAGAATCAATTAAGTGAAGATTTAAATCATGTTTTACAATGAAGTTTGCCATCAAGAAACAAGAATCAATTAACTAAATGCAAAAATAAAGAATAAGGATTTGAAGTATGCTTTACGAGAATGATTACCATCAATAAACAAGAATCAATTAATTGAATACGAGAGAGAGAGAGAGAGAGGATTCAAAATATGTTTTACAAGAAAGATTAGCATCAAGAAACAATAATAAATTAATTGAAGGCAAACTAAAGAAATAAGAATTTAAAGCACGTTTTACAATTAAGATTAGCATCAAGGAACAAGAATCAATTAATTGAATGCAAAATAAAGAAATAAAGATCTAAAAGATGTTAAACAAGAAACATTACCATCAACAAACAATAATCAATTAATTTAATGCAAAATCAGGAAATAAGAATTACGTATCTACCTTTAACTTTTTTGGTTGGGGCGGTGGAGTAGGATGAAGGTGGAAGAATTACTAGGGGCGGGCCCACATGGGGTCATATGGGGTCAAATGACCCCATAGTTTTCTGGAAATTTTTTATTTTTTATTTTTGCTGAAAACTTAATTTTCTGTTTTTTTTTTTTTTTTTTGTGCTGAAAACTTAATTTTCTGTTTTTTTTTTTTTTTTTGCTGAAAACTTAATTTTTTTTTTTTTTTTTTTTTTTTTGTGCTGAAAACTTAATTTTCTGTTCCAAAAAGTCCAAATTTTAAATCTATATCCATATCACATGGTCCATATCCATTATTTAGTCCATAAATATATCATATAATCCAATGATTTCTTCCCAAAGTGCACATATCGAACATGAACAGCAAACAACCGATTTTTCCTTTTTTTTCATGATACGTTGTTCGAAATTTTTTTTTTTGACCCCACAGTTCAGATGGTCTGGGTCCGCCCCTGAGAATTACCATTACGTATGTTTGTCAAATCAATTCTTAAACAAGGAAGAAACGAGTGAGAAAATGAATATAAATCAACTAAAAAAATTAGAAGTGCCAAACAAAGATTAAACTGCGTGAATTTTATTTGACTTACCTTTCAAAGTTGGGTGAAGAAAGTCAAAATGAGCGAGGAGAGGGATTATTTGAATGAAGAGATGACATGAGATGAGCTTCAAAGTCAATTTTGAGTTGACTCTATTTATTTTATTTTCTTTAATTTGCTAAGTATGAGAGTGTGCAATTTAATTTTATAAATGTTGTTGCTATCGCTAAGTGTCCATCAATTGTCTCAAAGCTTATGAATTTATTAAAGAAACATTATAAAGCACTCAAAATTTAACAAACTCCAAATCCGAACAATCACATATATAGAAATTTTAGATAATAGTAAGCCTATAAATACTTTTAATAGAAACGATGCCACAAAATTTCACGGTTAATATTTTAAATTTAAACAATGAAACCATATGTACTTTAGAAACTAGGCCATTTCAGTCTTACTTAGAGGTTCTTGCCCGTATCAATTTTCTTAGAGCAAAAAAAAAAACTCGATTTATTTCATGACTTATAGATCTATAACATCGAATTTAATAATACTTATAAGTGAAATCCTAATATCTTCAAGATTCTACCTCAGATGCGTTGTAAATGAAAGCCCAAGAGTGACTAACTAAGAAGGAGGGTGAATTGATTTTTAAATTTTTTTGAAAATTAATTCTAAATTTAAACTAATATGATAACAAATGAGACAATTTAAACGAATATGTACAAATACGAAAGCAAATAAGAGCAAGTAATAACCACAATATAAATGCAATAAGTAAAAGGGAAAGATGATGTAAACAATATAATTGAAGAGGTTCGATTCAAAGCAATAATCTACGTCCTAGGTTATCAAGCTCTCCGGTACGAACGAGGCTTTTTTATTATATTGATTGATTTATGGGGCAATCCAACACTTTTACAATACTTCCGGGGATTTACAAACAAGGAGTATCGACCCTTTTACAATGTTTAGCTTTACGGGACCTCAACACGATCCTCAAGTGTACAGATAAAGGGTTTACAAAGAACCCCCCCACCCCCCCCCCCCCCCCCCACAAATTTTAAAAATAAATAATTTACAATTTGAAGCTTCCACCACAATAAATGATATTTTCAAAATTGAGTACAAAAAGAAAAGTAGGTTAACACTTTAATAAATAGTAATAAATAAAGTTCAAATGGTAGATTTGAAAAACTTTAATAAATGAGATGATTTTCAAAAGTAAGTTCAATTAAAAGTTTTCAAAAGTAAATGAATCGATAAAGATAAACAAAGAGTAGAGATCAAAAGTGTAGACTCAAAAGCATCTCACTTTAATGCTCTTAGGAAGTGTTGAAATGTATGCAAAAAGTGAAGGTATTTATAGAGTTTAAAACGTCAAAAAAATCTGTATTTACAAAAGACATATCCGATCGACCACCTTTTGTTTGGATGACCAATATAATCGTTTGTATAGTAAAAACAGAAGTCGAAATGGTCAAATTTTAGACCTTTGGACGGGGTCCAGTTGATCGCCCCTCCGAGCAGTTGATGACCTCAGCAGTGCAGTCTTTTTACATTTTAGCTCCATTTGACTAGATTTGAAGGTTTTGAAAGGTATGGACTTTGGGAGGGTATTTTTAACTAATTTTTCAAAATAAAAATATATTTTTCAAGTCAAAATATCTTTTTAAAGTCCTTATATTTGATCAAAACGTTGCATTCGAACAACTTTTAACGCACACAAAAATTATTTTTAATGTATAGAAAAGTTTTGAACTTAACCATTCATTGTCAAATATCAAAATATTAGTAAATTTACATTTTGTTTAAGAAATCAAGTTTTTAATCTTCCTTCGAAATTTGGCTCTTAAATTCTTGAATGTGTGACTTCGAACTTGACCTCCTTCTTTGATGCTATCTCTCATGCTCTTGATCTTGATCTTCCTTCATCTCAAATAATTTGACTTTAGTGTTTGATTGATTTTAATATAGAACTATCATCACTCAAAAGAAATTGTTAAAAATAATATTAATCTTGTTTGTTATGATCAAAATATTGATGATGAAGTCAACCATGGGTCAACAATAAATATATGATAAAATGTCCAAATTGGATAAATCACTTAGAAATTGTGACAAGTGTGTTTTAAAATCTTACCAATGCTTATAAACTTTATAATAATTTTAATTGGGCGAATTTCTACTTAGTTCAGTGTAAATTTGATCATTGTATGTAAAACTTGAACTTGAAGACATTTAAAGCAAAAGGGAAGGTTATTCAACTAATTTGGAGTTGTTTCGAAACAACTGAAGACTAACTTGATTGCACAGGATAGGATAAGAAGTACTGAGAGAGCGATTGGAGGACAGTCACAAGTTTCAGGAGTGAAATTCAACTTATGAAAAGTTTGAGGACTAATTTGCTGTAATTCATAGAAACAACTGAGGACTAAATTAAAGTTTACTGTAATTCACGTAGAGATATTATGAGTTAAGTTATTTGAATATGATTTGTTTGAACACAATAGAGGTAAATCAACTAATTTTAAAGAATTCAGGTGTACGTACATAATGGATTGTTGTCAAAATTTGATGAGTGAGATTAAGGAAATAGTTACATTACTCGTGGATCCTAACACTTTTCATACATAAATTAAAATCCTAAATTATTTATTTGGGCACTTATTTATTTGCATAGATTTATTATATTTAGGATCATAATTAAAATCACTTTTAAATAGTTTTACTCGAATAGAAGTTAGACATAGTTACACTAATAGTTAGATAATTAGTCCTATAGAAACAACAGTTTGAACTCTTTTGGTCCACGTTACTACTTGTCAATTGATGTCATACACTTGTGATTACATCACAACAAATTTTGGCGTCGTTGTCGAGATTTTTTTTTATCTAATATTGATTTAAATTATTTTAGTTTTCATTTTATTTTTTTATCTTTATCTTTTTTTGGTTGTTCTACTTTTTCTCTTGATTTTATTGTTGGCTGGGACCAAAAGAAGTAAGAGACCGGCAGCAGTATAAGATGAGAGATCTCGAGATTGATGACAATAACATAATTGTGAGAGATGTATTCGTTGTCTAACGATTTAATCGCGGGATTTGATTCTCATGCAATAATAGATGAAGTCAATATGCTTGTTGGAGATGTCTTCGCCACGACAATTTAATAAGATTCACTTGTTGAAGTATATGACAGTGATTTGCCCGTGGATTTGTTTCTCCCACTAGTCGTTAGCAAACATGACTTGCTCTCGAGAGAATTATGAAAATCACCTCTATCGACTTCTAAGTACAAGGTGTGAATACGGACCATACAAATTTGATCTATTATTAGCCTTTCCATATGAAGTGGATATACAGAATGATCCAAGCTCCCATGCAATTAATACTCATAACATACAATCTAGGATGGAAGCATCACCAAAATTTTTGGTGGTCAAAATATCAAAATAGTGGTAATTCAATAATCTCAACAAGAAAGGAAGCTTTTTCATGAAGTTGTCATTGTGCAATCGTCCAAAATTTTTGGATAATAGACCAGTTATAAAATTCGGATAAACACCAACTATAGAGGTAGCACATTTGGAGAATGAGAACTTCATCCCAGCGGAACAAAACAAAGGAGTGTCATCTCAGCGGAACAAAACAAAGGAGTGTCATTCAATGAAGTTGGAATTATTAAACAATCCTCCGACTTTATTGTTCGCTCTAAAGTTTATTTTGTGATTAAGTCGAGGGCGTCAAGCCATAGGTTAGTGACAAGTTTTACGAAAATCCCTTGTCATTATTCTTTGATATTGTTATTTTATAAGATTTTCGAGAGACATAAATTGATATGGCATATAATTAAATTGATACATATTTCATAATCGAATCTTAATATATGCTTCTAAGCCCTAGCTTGATACTCTTTAAAATTTTAATACATTTTTCTCTCTCCTCTTTCTAATTCCACATTTTTTAATAAAATAATATTATACGTAAATAAAAAAAATCTTTATTTTTTAACCAAAAATTCTTTCAAAAAACACTATTACATAATATATTTTACCAAAATTTTTTCTTTTTAACGGGGCTCAAAAAAGGGCTAAGATATTACAACTAATATTTAAGCCCTTGTTTGAGCCTCATTCTTTTAGAAAATTACAGTTTTCAATAGTATTTTGATATTATTTTAATCACGCATTTTTCAATAAAATAATATTACACATAAATTCAAAATTATTCCTTATTTTTTAACCACACATTTTTCATCAATACACTATTCAAAAATTCGTCTTTTCAATAAATGGGGCTCAAATAAGGGCTTATTAATAACTATATTGACTATTATCTTTCCAAGACTTCAAATGCAAGGAGTCAAAATTGTTTCGAGTCCAGTGATTGAGCTCTTGGTATTTGATTGGCAAACTTTTCTTACTTTTACTTTCAAAAATTGGTTGACTCTGGAATAGATTGAAAGGACTTTGAAAAGATTTTGAAAATGAAGATAGGAAGACGGATAAATATTTTTTAAAGTCAGTTCTCAACAATTTGGACATTTTATATATTTCTCTCCCCGCAGGAACTTTCCTCTTTTTACCAAACACACTCATAAGGAAAGGCGGAGAGAAATTATGCTTTTTGCTGATCTATTACTTCGCCAATTCTTCTTGCTGAAGCAAACATCGAGAAATTCTCCATTTTCGTTGTAACCCAAATCCCATTTGCACGTATAAAGGTTTGATAGAACAGTAATATGATTGATTGAGTTACATAGACTGGGAAAAAGGAGAGGAATAAAGAGGTAAACGGGATAAAGATAACCCATGAATTTCGGTTTGTGGGTTTTCTTCTGTTGTGATTTTCAGTTTTTTGCTTTTTCATTATTTGAATTTGACTCCTTTATTTGTCTCTCTCTCTCTGTTCGTATTACTTAGTCTCTTTCTTGGATCTCTCTTTTCCAAATTATGTTTTGATCAAATATTCAGCTTCTTGGTATTGAGTTATTGGTTTAACAAAGTTTACGTAGTCTGTTTCTTGGATCTCTCCTTTTATGTGTAAGTTTTGATCAAATGTTCATTTTTTAGGGATTATTGTTATTATTAAATTAATTTTCTTGTTGGGGATGAATGATGATTTTCTCAATCAGCATGTTGTAGTGGTAAGAATTATATTTAAGATTGTTAAATGGGCAGTGGGTATCAGAATTTATCTGTTTTCCTTTTTGTTTGAGAAATGTTTTAATGCTATGCTTTATTTAGTAGTGGTAAGAAATTTTGTTATTCTAGTCGCTGGAATGGGATTCATCGTGTTTGTTTGCTTCAAATGCTCCAAAGAAATTTCTACTATAATTCATCGTGGGTATTTCTCTGGCGTGTTTATGTAGTTTATTTGATTACTTTACTATAATTGAAGTAGCTAGTTCGGTGTTGAAACTTGTCGTTAAGATCTTGCACGGGATCATTGCATGCAAAGTTCTTTTTGATGATGGGATGTTTAAATACAACATAATTTATTTATTTATTATTATTATTTTTTGGGTTTAATTATTATTATTATTATTTTTTTTTTTGTAATTTGATATGTCCGATGTAGTTCTGGTGGATCGTGACCGTTTACTATTTATTGTTTTTGTTTGAAATGGGGACTGCCTTTGTGACATGTTGTACATCTTCTGCTATCATCTTTTTTGTGCTGTTTTTCACATTGACTGATTTTTATGCAGGCGCATGCACCTTCTTCTGGTTAATTTGTGCACCTGGAAAATACAAATAATAAAGAGTATCTGTATCTGAGGAAGACAACTAGGATGCGTAGGTGGCTGTGTTGTACATGCCAAGTTGAGGAGCCTTACCAATCAAATGAAAATGAGATCCATAAGAGTCCAAACAATCATGCTGATGGTACGTTCGATGTCATTTAAAGCTTATGTACGTGTTCCAAGGAATCTAAATCATGACCTTTGCTTTATGAAAACTTAAGTTGAATCTTGATACCAATTAGAATGTATGCATTAACTGCTTGGACCCATGCCCGGGTCGTTACAATGTAGGTGCTAACCAAGTGATGTTTACTTTCGGTCTTTTTGCTATTTACATCTTGAAAAGAGTGGTTTGAATCTTTGTCACTGTCTATTCAAGTTTCTGCAGTTACGATTATATGAACTGGTGCTCTTTTAGACCTTCAGACAAATATGTAGAACTTGGAAAACTTGATGGATTATTTTATGATGCAACACAATGGATGAAATATTTGTGAAAGTAATTGAAATTTCAGGTGATTTCCTGTGCAGTGATTTTTTATCATGAGTGCTAAACGTACAGAATAATGTATCATAGCCTATGGTTGGTCATCACTTTAATTGTCTTTAAGTTTGTCTGGGAGGTATTGAGACTTTCAATAGTGTACTAAGTAATGCATCGAGCATGTTGACTATGTTACGTGTTTCTTATTGTTTTTATGATATGGTGGATGGAAATAAAAGTGGGCGCACATCATGAAATATATGCATGCGATTAAAGGTGTCAGGAAGGTGTACCGTGTACAAGGAAATCTGGAGAATATTTGGATCAGACTTAGAAATGTTGCCTTCTTGAAAGAGCCTGTACTTCTTAGTTCTTTTATATTCAGTTCCAATCTTTTGATGCTGCTGGCCAATAGGTAATTAGAATTTCAGATGGTCAATGGATTTTATTTTTCTTTCTGCATATATTTTATGTTTTCTTTTACCTAACATATGGCCGTTACTTTCAAAGATGCTATAATCCTGAGGAAGTTTTGTATATGTCATCTATATTGTTCACTCACCCATAGCAAATCTAAACCATCCATATCATATCATCTCAGTTAATTGTTGGTTACAGTGATGTTCATGAACTTTGTTTCAAAGTTAGTTATTGATACTTTCACTTTATATATATGTCCGCCAAATAGGGCATCAAAGAGGCCCTAAGGTGCCAGCTCTTGTGAAGCCTGAAGTTCAGAAGGCAGCACCTGTTATTGAGGTGCCTGCGCTGTCTCTCGAGGAACTGAAAGAGAAAACTGACAATTTTGGATCTAAGGCATTAATCGGTGAAGGATCTTATGGAAGAGTATACTTAGCACAGTTAAATGATGGCAAGGAGGTGGCTGTCAAGAAGCTTGATGTGTCATCTGAGCCTGATTCAAATGTGGAGTTCTTGACTCAGGTACATGATCTTCATGTTTGGCGCAGTCCATTGTATTCTCCTGGTATACACAATTCATTCCCCTTCTCTTGTGACGTATATTGACCTTTTCCTTTATTAAGGTTTCCATGGTGTCGAGATTGAAGCATGAAAATCTTGTAGAGTTGCTTGGCTACTGTGTAGAAGGCAATCTTCGTGTCTTAGCTTATGAGTTTGCAACTATGGGATCTCTACATGACATTTTACATGGTAGGTGGAATCATTCTGCCTTCTAACTAGATTTTTGAGGGACGGTGGGAAGGTTATTTTCTGATCTTATAGTAACTTCAGGAAGGAAAGGAGTACAAGGTGCGCAGCCTGGTCCTGTACTTGACTGGATGCAAAGGGTAAGAATTGCTGTTGACGCTGCGAGGGGGCTGGAATATTTGCATGAGAAGGTGCAGCCTTCAATAATACACAGAGATATCAGATCCAGCAATGTTCTTCTCTTTGAAGACTATAAAGCCAAAATAGCAGATTTTAATCTATCAAATCAAGCTCCTGACATGGCTGCTCGCCTTCATTCTACTCGAGTTCTGGGAACATTTGGTTATCATGCACCAGAGTAATGCCCTTTACATCTTCCTTCTGTTATTAGATGCTTCCATTAATCTAACTTAGTTGATTTCTTTCTCAAGGCTCGCAGGACACAGCGTTCTTGCTTTTTAGTAATTATGTTGCTGAAGCCTGCTTAAGGTCACTCATATAAATACCGATGAACCCAATAATCATGTTTTTTACCGTCTTTGCTTCTAAAAAATTTAATTAACAGATTGACATGCTATCGAACATATAATTTGAATTCCAACGAGCAGATGTGTCAGAGAGATTGTAACCACATCAGCATCCAACACCAATAAATTAGGGTATATTAGCTCAGGAGTCTCTAAGATAAACAGTCAAATACTAACTATTAGTTGTACAAAGTATAAATTACACAAGCAATTCCATCTTAATGTGTACTATTTAGAAGTTCTCAACCACGTGTGGCCTTCTGAGTGATTGCCTTTTTTTTGCTTTTTTAAGGCAACATTAGAACGTACACATTAAATTCCATCTATCCCTTTATATAGCAGTAGAATTTAATAAAAGATAATAGATGTATAACAATATCTTTGATCATGAATTTCTTTATTTTCTAAGAAATTTTATTGTGAGCAGATATGCAATGACGGGACAGTTGACGCAGAAGAGTGATGTGTATAGCTTTGGGGTGGTTCTGCTTGAGCTTCTGACAGGAAGGAAGCCTGTTGATCATACTATGCCCCGTGGGCAACAGAGTCTTGTTACATGGGTGAGCCGACTACTTTGCCTGCTTTCCCAATTCTTTTTTTGAAACTCGGATTTGTCTTGTTTTTCTTAATTGCTTATGGTATCCATTTTTCCTGGTTGTCCTAAACTATTTTTGTATCAGGCCACTCCAAGACTGAGCGAGGACAAAGTTAAACAATGTGTAGATCCAAAGCTTAAGGGAGAGTATCCACCAAAGGGAGTTGCTAAGGTACACCCCCTACCCCACCACCCCACACGCAGACTCAAAGAATGAGTCATAATTGTTCTAACACTGTGATTGTACCGTCTTTGGTGATTGCAGTTGGCTGCTGTTGCAGCATTGTGCGTGCAGTACGAAGCTGAGTTTCGACCAAATATGAGCATTGTTGTCAAGGCTCTACAGCCTCTCTTGAAGTCAACTGCTCCTGTTCCAGAGGTTTAGCGCCAATAAAATTGGATACTCGTAATGTTTGGATTGCTGCATGTTTTCCACAGTTTGGATCAATTTACGCTTGAATTATTTTAGTCGGGCCACATTTAGTTTTTCATTTTTTTTCCCAAGTTGAGACATGTAGGATTGGATTCGGCTGCTGTGATTCCTCTGTGTGGTTTGTTTTTGAGTCTCGACATGTTTCAATATGGCATTGATGTGTTCCTAAATCATTTGCTTTTGTGTATTTAATTTAATGAATTTTGTCATAGCTATATCTTTTCTGAACTTGCAATTCTAGTTTAATGGTCTCTTGGGGTTGAGTTAAAAACTAAACCAAAATAAACTCGACTCGGATCGTTATCATTTGATCATGCTCAACTGAGGTTGAATTGAAAATTCTGTTAAAAAAAAAATAATAAATAAAATAAAATAAAAAATTGCAAGTTAATCTACTGGAGAAATATTTACTCATTTAACATTACTGAAATTGGTTAGAATTTTTCTGGCTCGAAAAGACTTTTATGAAATACCGGTTGCATTACTAAATCTCTATGAAATGATCAGCCAAAAGGAAAGACGAAAAGAATTCATACGATCAGACCCAAACTTTTTAAAAATAAGATTCTTAAACTCAGATGAAGGTCAAGAAATTATTTTATAAATGTATAAATGGAATATATTAAGCCCATATAACTGGAAGTTCCATGTCTTTAGAGGTATAGAACTTGAACCGGACATTACAATATCGCAAATCACGTACTTACATAATGCACAAACTATTGAAGAGATTGGATTTAAAAAACCTATGCAACAGACAACAAATTAAGACAATCACAGGGGAAACATAATCTAACTGATACTCGCACAATCACTGGGGAAACATAATCTCATGGCAAATATTGCTCCTTTATTACATGATTTCTATAAAGAAATGCCATAACACTGCATAATACCCAGTAACACTTCAAGAAGTTGATGCTGATTTTGGAGCAGACGGGTTAAAAGGAAGTTGTTCAGCACAGGTGAGAACTTCATGGGGTCCTGCCTCCTCTCGGCCGACACCCATCAAGTCGAGGTAATACTGGTAATGGGATACAATGTTGTTCATGGAGTCGACATCACCTTGACCACAAACACTGTCACCATACAAAATGTTCATTGTGGTGCCAAAACCCGGAAACCGTTTAGCCAAGGTATCGTTTTTGGTGGGTTTCCAGTTGCCAACAAAGGCATCATGAGACGAAGGTTGTCCTTTCTTTATTGGTGTCATCCATCTCCAAATTGCGGCCTGGAAAGCGAGGGTGGCATTTTGTTCAATGTATTCAGGATGGTTCAACAAATCGACCTTGAGGGCTTCTCCTGTAGATCCATAATTGTAGTTCCTAGACAAATTAAAACCCGAAAAAATCTTATATTCTGACCTGAAATAGTCAAACTTCAACAAATATTTAACAATTTTGTAACTTCAAGACAAAAATTTAAAAAGGCTAGATAAAGGAATCCATAACCTTGCATACATGAAGTAACAGGGATAAAGAAGGTCCAAGTAAGAAAGGAGTGCAGATTTTACAATTATCCACGGACTTGAATTGCTCAATTGTAATGGAAAAATCAGATGAAGTTGTTTCCTTTTAATCTTACATGAAATGGAATATCATTCAATAAACCTAAATATAGACTTTGCATAATCTCCATTCATATTTTCCAGGGAGACTGAAGGTTTAAAGGCAAGGACACGCTAAATATAAGGCCATTGCAAAGCATGGGGGAACTCAAAATAAAAAAAAGAAGAAGAAGCAAGTACCAGTAAATTGGCAAAGCACCACGGCCATAGTATTCGGCTCCAGGAGCGCATGGGTAGGTGTATTTAAAGAAGTCGTCACAATAAGATTGGCTTGGACTCATTTCCTTGTTGTAGCATAGACCCCAAGCCAGTGGTCCACCAGTAGCCACCCCATAACCGCCTGCATCGTAATTTATAAAATACAAATTATGGTATTTGACAAGGCAAGATCAGTTTAAATATAGCACATACAGTCCACTATTTATGGAATAACAAGACTACATTAAGCTACTAACGTATTTTCTACTATTATCGTGTAAGAAAAATATCAAGTTGGCTGAATTCAAAGTTACTGCAAGTTCTGTATCACAAGTTGCTATTGGAAACCCTTCAAATTAAAGGTAAGAAACATTTGCCCATGTTATCAACTTTGAGCAAATTAACTTGACCATCACAATGGAATCTGATAAGTGAATTTTCAAGCCGAAGTATATACTTTACTTGATATGCTCTTTCTTTGGTGAGCTCTTAAAAACCCTCACATTCTTCAAATTGAAAAATGCTGGAGTGACCGAAAATTTCTGACAGTTCCAGAAAAAGAAAAAAGGCTACCGCTTGGGTGGTGACCGAATAGGCAGCTCCATGACACTGAGGGAAAGGGGCAAGAAACAGAAAAAAGAATGGCAAAGGTATGGTAAGTAATGTTTTAAAATAACTGAGGACACAGTGACATTTCTAACATCCATTTGTCACAGCAGTCATGATCATGGACTTAAATGGCAAGAAAACTCACCAACCCATAATGCATTTTTAATCAAGATTCTCTAGGTAAATTGCATTTTTAAAATCTACATCTAGTAACACAGTTACACAGATCTTGAGAGTAGATCGAACTAATTCGAAAAGAGATAGTTAAATGAAAACCTCGAAACTCCAGGAGCGAACGTGAAAATTACAACTAGCCACAAAAAATACAGAGAGTAAATCTAGAATCCCAAATTCAAACCAATTAGGGTTTGAACACAAATCTAACCGAGCAAGTAATCATAATTATTGAGTTCACAACTCAATCAAAATAGAAACAAAACCTAATGATCTCTCTTTTGGATGAAAAATCATAATTACCCAATGAGATTCCTCCTCCAAGAAAAAACAAAAACTTACAACTTCAAAAAAAAACATAAATTAAATTTAGTATCCCCAAATTTAAACTGATTGGGGTATAAACACCACTAGAACGTTATCCAATTCACACCTCAATCGATAAAGCCACCAAAGAAGGATGATTAGTAAACACTTACAGGTAGTTTTGCTGCCGACATGGCCAAGGAAAGCAGCCACCTCCTTCATCTGCATCAGCTTCCCACCAGTAGTCCCAAATCCAAGCGGCTCATAGAGCGCAGCAGCAGTAATGAATGAGTGATAATCCCAGAATCCAACGGCATGAGCCACTGGCGTATTCCTCTTAGTGAAAAGATTCTCAAACTGATAGGTCTGAAAGTAATCTGTAATCGTCAAATTACAGCAGTAAATCGACAACCCTTTACACTCCCATCCTTTGTCGCACATTTTCTTCCCCTTCACCTTCTTCACTCTCAACGTCGGAGTAGATGATATGTCCTCCGTACTCGCAATAACAGCCATAGCCAGGACCACCATCAAACACCCAATAAAAGCAATTTTTAGATCCATTCTTTTGCTGCAAAATTTTCGAAAACGAAAAGGAAAAAACCTCAAATTAGCAAGTAGAACCCTACAGGGGAAACGTGAGAAGAATGAGCTTATTAAATTCAAGAAAAAAGAGAAAGGGAAAGACAGTGAAGGTACAACTTACTCAGAGTAGACACCCATTTTTTGAGATCTAATTGTGAATTCCTCAATTTCTTTGGGTGCAATGCAAGGAAATAGAGAGGGGCGTTAGATCAAGAATCTCTTTCAGCTTAGAGAAGGGAAAATGACAACAATGATGAATATGTGGGGTTAGGTTCCGGGGTTGGGTGTGGAGTGGTGATGTAAGATAATTTGGACCCCTCCCGACAAAACGTGAAATGTCATGAATACCCTTCAAAGTTCATAAATTCTCTAAAAAAAAAAAAAAAAAAAAAAAAAAAAAATTTGCAAAATCAATCAATTTCACAAAGACATTTAAAAATGGTTTGCTTAGATAAAACAGTTTTTTGGGCATGTCATATTATTGTGTTTAAAAGCAATGGTTCGTCCAAATGCAGAAGATACTAATGGTGATTGCTCCTATCGATTTGTCCAAACATCCTCTTGATTGATCTCAATAGCTTAGATTTTGAAAAAATAAATAATATTTGTGAGTCAACGATAGTGGCTCGGAGATTTGGCATGGGAGAGGGTGTAATGTATTAAAGTGAGCCATATGTAGACATATTGTTGTTGTATGCTATCTTTACATTATTTTTAGAAACAATTTCAAAGTTATTTTTCCCTCAAATGCTTTCGAGAAAAGAAATCTTTTAAACACAATTAAACATGTTATACAGTTTCTTGCATGTTACAGAAAAAATGCAATGTTAGACTATAATTCTGCAATAGCATATAATAAAACACTATTAATTAAATAAATATTTTCACCAAGTGATGTTGGTAGAACTCAAATTATCGAAAATCTTTGGCTCTCCATTTAAAATTGAGTTTTTAATAATATTTTTTGAGAAAACGTGTGAAAAAAGTAGGAAAAATTTTAAAATTTACGTGTAAAATTATTTTATTAGAAAAATATGTGATTGGAAAATGAGTTTTGACAACCATAATTTTGAGAAAAAAAATAAAGAGTTTTGAATAGTAATTTTTAGTAAACTGTGTGATTAAAAAAGTAGAAATTTTTTTGAATATATATAAAAAATATTTTATTGTATGAGCGTACGAATAAGAATGAATATGTAGAAAAAAATTGAAAATTATGGTCGTTAAACAGGAACTAAGTATTGAATTAGAAATACAAAGAGAAATGAAAAATGGAAGGGCAGATTTGGTAATTGAGTAATAATATTATAATTGGCACTCGAGAATGGACGGTTGAGATGACTTCGTGTGAGAGAAAGATGCTCGAGTTTTAACGAGTAACAGGCTGGATTTGGATTGAAGCAATCGCGGAAGGTAAAGGGCTGACCCACTACCTTATTCTCTTCCACCGACAGCCAATCTTTAATTTATTATTCTTTTTTTATTTTCACAAATTATTTTTCTTCTTTAGAAAAAATATAATATATTTTTGCCGGTAGCAATAAATCCCATTAAACAGAAACAAACGAGAAAAATAAATTCAGATTTGATTGAAGGCAATGCAAGATACGAAGGGATGGAGACAAAAAATAATTCTAAAATGTTGGTCTCCCAAGTGAATTCTACCAATCCGTGTACAAGTTTTCACAATGAGGCGGGCCCCACATCTGACCCTCATGCATTAAAAAATTATAATAAAAAAGGTTGACCCACCAACTCGAGAGAGCATGTAGAGAACCTGTGAAGGTCCAATATGGTGGTTTAGTATCACTCAAAATAATTTCAATGCGGACTTGAAATTAAGCAATAAAATTAAATATAGATAGCTTAAAATGCCACATAAGACATCGATTCTCAAATATTTAACAATAAAAAAAATTTAAAAATCTCGTCCATACTTTGAAAGCTTAAGCGTCTATTTGATTTGAATTAAAATTTGATTTTAATATAAGTTAAAATCAAACAATCAATATTAATTATATTTTTTATAAATTTCACAACGTTTCAACTATACATTTTAAAAACTCTTATCACAATTTATTAAAAAATATAATTTTAATCTCCACCAAACACTTTCTAAATTTCACATGGAGTGATGGCACATATATCAAGAGCAAGATGTACAACTACAAAACAAAACGAAATTTAATTCCTTTTTGGTGGAGATTAAAATTAAATTCTTAATAGATTTTGATAAATATTTTTAAAATGTGTGGTTGAAAAGTTGTGGAACTTATAAAAGATATAATTAATATTGATTGTTTAATTTGACTTAAATTAAAATCTGATTTAAATTAATATCAAACAGGAGCTTAACAAAATTAATCCTTTGAATATTAAAAAGGAATCTATATTTAAGCCAACTATTTTTTTTAAGGGTTAAATCCATTAATTGCTACACAATTTTATATTCAATGTCATCATGATCATCCAACTTGATTTTGTTTCAACATGGTCACCAACTATATACTAAATGTCACGATGACCATCCACTTTCATATAACATTTCACCATAAACACTCAACATTTTTTTTTCATTCTTTTCATAATTTTGAAAGGAATAAAAATTGCAACTTTGCATTATATATATGTACAAAATAAATTTTTAAAAAATAAAAGTTTTTAATTTTAAAAATATATTTTAATATAATTTTTATTTTATTTTATTTTTCCAAATAATTTTTTTAAAATAATTTTTTGTTTTATTTAATTTTTTTAACAAACGTTTTTTTAAGGGCATGTTCGGTTTTGGGTCAAAATTTTATTTTAATTTAAATCAAAGTCAAACAATCAATATTAACCACATCTTTTATAGGTATCACAACTTTTCAACTAGATATTTCAAAAACTTATACCATAATCTAATAAAAAGTCTAATTTTAATAACCGCCAAACACTCTTTAAATAACTTTTTTTATTTTATTTTTTTGAGTAACATTTTCTTTTAAAATAGGTTCTTACTTTAGTTTAAAAACTTTTTTTAAACAATAAGTTTTTATTTTTATTTTTTTAAATAAGCTTTTATTTTATTTTTATTTTATTTTGTGCATATTTAATGCAAAGTTACCATTCTACCCCTTTTAAAATTAGTGAAAATTGTGAAAAGAAGTTAGATAGTTATGATGAAACATTATATGACATAGGGTGTTCATTGTGAAATAAAATAAATGGGGTAGTCATGATGACACCAAGTATCAAGTAGGGTGATTATGGTGAAACAACATTAAATTAGGTGGCTATGATGATACTAAGTATGAAGTTGAGTGGTCATGGGTGGATTTAACAACTTTTTCTAAACATGCTTAACGAGAGTGAAGGACCTATTACGATGACGGAACTATCTTAAATAATTAACCTATTTACCTATGGGCAATCTGTGTGTATATGTGCTAATCTCTCCATGTGTGCATGGTGTGTGTGATGTGTATGGAGAGCGGTAGTGATGGATTGGAGACGGTGATGATGGGTTGAGATGTTGATCTGTGTGTTGTTGGTTTGGAGGCGAGTGGTAGTGTTGTTGGTGATGAGGTGACATCGCTCTTATTTAGTGGTGGTGGGAGGAAATGGGTTCGAAAAAGAGCAATTGTGATTAATTATTGGATAATGGTAATCAATAAAATAAATAAATTGTGATCAATAAAAAATACGTTACCTAAAAGTGTGTGATTTATGATTATATTTGTAATTGTATCCTACAATTTATGTCTTTTTGATCAATAAATAAATTGTAATCAATTAACTTTATTAATTTATGATTATAAAATAAGTTGTGACCTATAAAATTTGGGATTTGTGATCGAGAAATAATGTATGACTAATTAGTTTAATAATTTATGATCGATAAATAAATTGTGACCTATAAAATTTGTAATTTGTGACTTTGACGTTCGATGATTGTGATTTGTACATAACTATGGCCATAAATTATACAATATTGTGATCTTAACATAATTAACTAATAAATTATTTTTAATTGATAAAATTTAATTATGATCTGATTTTTGAAATTTTAAGACAAATTTCTTGATTCTGAATCTTAACATAATTAACTAATAAATTATTTTTAATTAATAAAATTTAATAATGATCTGATTTTTGAAATTTTAAAACAAATTTCTTGATTTTGAAATTGTATCTTTCAAACGCTTTAGATATGTAATGTTCTCAAGAAGATATTATACGCTTTGGACTGGGCAATTTTGTCTTAAAGAAAGCTTGGGCTAGGTAATCTTAGTGTGTGCAACCTATGGTCCAGTGTGAACATGTGCCTTCGCGATATTATAGCAGGCTCTACCCTTGAACTCACTATAAGGTTTAGGGGAAAATTCACATATAACCAACGAAAAAATAATTCATGAGAAGGGGAGCATTCCATCCGCTAAGATGTTTGACAAATAGATATGACAAAAAAATGAGAACCCTTAATTTAAAATAAATCAATGGTGCAAATATCACTACTATGTAAAAAGGGCAATGTTATCGCTACTTTAGAAAGAACGGTAGATTCTTCCATTTTCACACACTGTAGCAATTTTTTTAATCTCTCGAGTGAAAACGACGCCGTCTGCAAACAAAAAAAACATGCAGGAGTGATGCACCCACTTGTCCTCAATTTAGGTGGATCGTTCTTTCTTCTTCTCAATTTTCACACACTACTGCCTATTCTCTCCATTTTACCACACAAATTAGCCATAACTCCTTCTTCTCTCTGAGTTTCACTCTGAAATGAACTATGATTGTTTGTTATATATTTTGTATGGATTGATTGAGGTCTGGTTGTTCTGAATTTTAGTTCTTATTCTTGTTTTCATTGAAATTTGTCGACGTTCTGTAACTCAATTTCATTTAACGGAGTTTGATTGATTTTTTTTTTTTTTTGCATTTTGTGTGAATTGATTTCATTTCGAATTTTGCTGTTAATGTTTTCTTCTTTTTTTTCTTGGGGGGTATGCAATGGATCCATATCAAAATATAAAAAAATAAAATGAAATATACACATATGGTGATTTCTATATAAGTGAATATAAAATAAATGTTTTGATGGAATAATGTATCTATTTGCGTAATATATTTGCAAATTTATTATAAACATTATATTTCAATTAAGGAGTTACAATGAAGAAATTGTGTTGTATTGTTTAATTTTAGATATTTGGGAATAATTGAAATATGGATGGAATATGTTGGTAAATAAGAGAGTAAATAGAATTTGATGTAAAAATAGCAAAATAGATTAACA